AGGGAGGGGCGGGGGGGGGGGGGCAGAGGGAATCTGGTCCTCTGTCCTTGAGAGCAGCGTGTTGCTTGAATCAGACTGAATAGGGCTGAGCTAAGGAGACACATGTGCCTGAGCTGAGCTGGGGAGCGGAGCCATGGCCGTCAAAGGGAGCCAGAGACACAGCCCAGCCAAACTTATAATTGCTGCAGCCACAGAGCCAGAAGGGCCAAAGAAGCAACCCGGGAGCTGAAGGCAGCATTGCAGGATGGAACTGGGCTGGAGCTGGGTGTAGTGAGAAGCACGGGAGAACAGAGAGGAGCTTGGGTAGAGGTCCAACACTGGGGGACTTCACCAGCCATGAGGCCTTGCAAGCCAGATGGGGTGACTAACACTGCGGCAAAGGGGCCTGCCCAACTAAGCGCTCCGCTAGTTCGATTCAAATTCGAACTAGCGGAGCGCTAGTGTAGCGCATAGGAAAGTTAGTTCGAACTAACGTCCGTTAGTTCGAACTAACTTTGTAGTGTAGACATACCCCAGGTGACTACAACAAAGTTAGAGGTTGAGCCCCCAGGAATCCTGGGCCCAGACGTGTTGGGGTTGAGAGGATTCTGTTACGCAGGAGGGTGGAAGGGGAGCCCTTGAGATCAGGGGCTCTGCTTAAAGGAAGTGGGAGCAAAGACTCAGATCGTTTCACTAGCCCATTTCACAGGGGTCATGTAGAAGCCAAAAAAGTTTCCCTCAGTAGTGGGACCATTCCCCCACTTACATTCAGGCAGCTGGGCATGAATTCCTTCTTCTCTAGCTCATAATAGCAGCTCAGCCCAACAGCTAAATAGGGGCAGGGACTGGGAGAGAGAGAGGCTTCTGGCTGGCTGCTCAGACTGGGTGAGGACTGAGCTGGGGAGGACCCCACCAGAATTGTTTCTTCAGGGAGGAAGTCCTGGGCATACAGCCCCATACCAGGGCTAATATTATTTCAAGACAGAGCCCCAGGCAGAGCTAGAAAATCCACCTGAGAATCACAGAAAAGGAGTTCACCACAGGAGAAAGAACGCGGACACACACAACCAAAGGAGAGGGGGGGTTTTGGGGTGCTCATGAGAGGGGGTTTTTGGCTCTGTCACAGACCGAGATTGCTGCATGTAGCTGTGGGTATGCTTTCCATGCTGGACAACAAAGTGTGGATGTTCTGTGGTTTATTCCCCCCAGATTTAAAAATATAATATGTCCCCATCATTTTCCCCATTCTAGCAAAACCCCCTCCTTTAATTCCTCCCCCCTCCCTTCTCCCCTATTTATTTTGGGTCTGCACATCCTAAACTCAAAACTCCGGTCATCTGAAGAAGTGGAATGTGCCCACGAAAACTCAAGATACCAGCTACATGTTTTGTTAGTCTATAAAGTGCTACCAGACCATTTATTGTTTTTTAAGTTTATCCTGTACAGACTAACTCGGCTACCTCCTGAAGCTTACAAAACGTAGTGTCAACCAAGTCATATATGCTAGACATAGCACACACCACCTTAATAATATTCCAATGTATATTATATTATAAATGGATGCTGCAATGTTTGTTAACTGAATGTATTATGCTCTTTCCAGAATTCAATTCACCCATGTCAAGCATCCCACACCCTTTCAAAGCTGAAACCAGTTTTGGCATTAGAAAATAGGAAACTTTTCAAGGGAAAGATGCATGCATAGTTGGTACCATGCATAGATAGGAAATACCCTGATGGCACATCAAGACATGAAGTGTAGTATTCAAAATGAGATATGGGAAAGTACAGCGAGATGCTAAGGTCAAAGCTGGCACAAACTCATGGGGAAAACTTACATGTTGAGCGATGTACAAATGCTGGTGTTGGTTATGGAAGTATTCTATGAATATAGTTTAAAAGATGTATATTTGAAGTACACCTTTTGTGTAAGCTGAACTTGTTGTGACTCCTGCAAGATAAGAATTATTTCCCAGACAATTATGTAGGCCTCCTTTGTATTGTGCGGTTTTGTCTTTAGACAATACACTCTGTTATTTGTATCTCTGAACACTTTTAAAAACAAACCGTGAGTTTACTCAAATGATTGGACATACCTTTTGCTCAACAGTAGCAACCTTTTATCATTTTCTCCCAGACTCATATTTTTATTTTACTTTAGAAATTCATGAGATAAGTAGCTTGAGCTCTGCTTTCTTTTCACTTCAGTCTATACACTAGTGTGCTACCCCTTCTACTATCATATGTCTTGCTGTAAAACTGCTGTAAGACAAAGATCCCTCAGTTAGGAACAGAATGACATTTCCCTCCCAACCAGCAGCAATTTTCCTATTTCTGTGGCATTGGTTAATGTTGCAGGACAGCTTTAGTTTCTTGAGACTCTATATACCATTCACCTACATTTGTCTCTTGTTAAGCTACAGGCTGAATTTTTTCTTTTTTTTTTTTACACAAGTTCATTCATTAAATCAGACTTCACATCCTGTGGTTGATTAGAATTCAAATCTCTTTTAGACAAAGGAAACAGCCAACCTTTCTGTAACATGCTGAGTTTTGCTATGCACAAAATTAGCGTTAATATAAATCATTCTTTAAAAAAAGAGAGATATGTCATGATGAGCGTTGATGGAAAATGTGGATTATTAAAATATAATGAAGAGCAGAGGACTCTAACCTTTTTAAGACAAGATAAGTTTTTGAATGTAAGTCAATCCAGAATCTACCTCAAACCCAAATACCCTTGGCTCACCTCCTTCCCCACCCCTTCTCTGCCTTTATACCAACCATAAACTGCCTTTATATCAACCACAGTAATGTGACTATTCCTATTATAAATGGTTCAGGTAAGCAGAGATTAAGAAAACTGGCCTGGTGTCATCTCAAACTGTGACCAGATCAAATAAAGACGCCACAAAGTGGGCAGTTAATGCCTCATCAAACTTCTTAATAACCACGTACAGTAGCTGTTTATTAAACACTTTTGAAGAGTATGAACCTTCCAGATAAATCAGTGAGCTCTTTGTGTCAGATACTGATTCAACAGAGCCTCTTAACCCGGTAGATGGGTTCTAAAATGCACTTCACACAGAAAATCCCATTATTAATCATAGGCCAGCATGGTCTACAGCATATATACATAGGTTACATGTTGCCAGGAAGGCATTTTATTTCGCTAATAATAATAATTTTATTATTTCTTACAACAGTATGTTTGAATTTTTTCTCAAAGTTCTGTATTGCTTCATACCTTGCAAAAAGAAGGGCTATTTTATGTATTAAAGTTTGGAAAACTGCTGATTACCTATTGTGAGAGCTTCCTTCCCCCTTCCACGTGCATGCTTGCTAATGTGTTTACTACATCAGTGTGTCCGTGACTTCCCAGGACAGCCCAGACAGATTCGTAGCTGCAACAACCCATTATACTTGTTACATGACAGTTGCTTGTTTAAAATTCGCACTTGGAACCTGTTGTGGTTCAAGTGACTTCAGGATATTGTGTGTGTCACAATCATTGGTTAAAACTGTTTTGTAGCAAGAAAAAAACAATGACAAATGTGTTAAATTTACACAACAAAAACAAATTATTTCAGCTCTATCCTAGTGACTCATGCAGCTTAATTGGGATGGGCTCTCTTCCATCCATTCTCCCCCAGGCAGCCCCTCCAAAGGGAGATAAAAGTCAGGATGTCTTTACACCTCCACTCTCTTCCATCCATTCTCCCCCAGGCAGCCTCTCCAAAGGGAGATAAAAGTCTTTACACCTTCAAACAGAACGTGGAGAAGGATGGCAGGAGACAAATCGCTTGGTCATTGTCTTTGGTCCACCCCTTCTGGGGCACCTGGTGCTGGCCACTGTCGGCAGACAGGCTACTGGGCTAGATGGACCTTTGGTCGGACCCAGTACAGCTGTTCTTATGTTCTTATGTTATGTAATGACATTGCAGGCAGGAGTAATGTGATATATAGATTCAGAACTTGGGCTGACTCTCACAATCAGATTTTCATCTAGTTACTTGTCATCAGGCGAGCTGACAGACCCATTGGGCTCCTGGGCAAGGTGTGTGTATGTGTGTGTGTGGGGGGGGAGGAGTGGCTCTGAACTCCTGGCAGGAGCAGAGCCTTGAGCAGAGTGGGTGGGGCTGGGACAGCCAGCCCTCAGTGAGTCCTGGAGCATGCTATTCTGGGCTCCAATGGGGATTTAAAGAGCCCAAGGCTCCAGCCACTGCTGTGGTTACAGGAACAGTAGTGACAGACAGGAGCCTAGGGCCCCTTTGAGTCACTAGGCCCCAGGGCAGTTGCCCTCTCTGCCCCCCTGCTGGTGGGCCTGCTTGGCAGAGTGCCATTGAAGCTAGACGTCTACAATCAGTCAGAAAACAAGCAGGGCACATCTTCCCCGAAGAACAAGAATCAGGGGAGCTGTGCATTTGGGTGCATTTGTGAGCCCAATCCCCACTTCCATCCACGTGTGAATCATTCTGCTGCACATCTGCTGGAAAGGTGATCCCGTGCCTGAGCTCCACCATGACTTGGAGCTCTATCATTTTGCAGTGTGCAGGCAGCACAAGCTGCTGGTCTAAATGAGAAGGTCTGCAGAGCCCAGTATAAATGTGGTAACATGATTGTGAGACCTGGGTCCAGCAATCACTGGCAATGTGTGTGGCGGGTTCGAGAGGCCGCATGCACCCCAAACACCATAGGTGAGAAGGCAAGGGACCAGAACCTCTGGATGGGCCAGCGTACTAGTGGGGGGCCTTGGTGTCTGCAGCAGGGATCAGGCCCTCCCTGTACTGACTGGCAGCTGGGAAAGGAAGTGAAGTGATGGAGTTCTGCTCCCAGGCTGCCAGTGTGTCAC